CCCTGCCACAGAACACTTCACACACACACACACACACACACACACACACACACACACACACACACACACACACACACACACACACACACACACACACATACACACCTGATGGTGTCATAGATAAAAGCGAGAAAATTATTTGGGTCGAGAATGAAAACAGATACTTTACACTGTATATTCAGTGTTTGTCAGTATTAACTATACAGTAAATCAATGTGTATTCGTGGGTGCGTGTGCGTTTGTGCTTATGCGCAAGGTCTATATAAGTATTTATATGTGCTTATGTGCATGTATACATGTCATGTAATACAGGGTGAAAAATACTATACATTAGTTTCAGACTTCTTTCATTGTCTTTGTATTTGGAATCCAAGTCCTTTTATAAACCTGATCAGCTTTGCAAGATCCTCAGTTATATAAATTATTAATCAACTGAAAACTAAAATGAATATATAGCCTACTCTGAAAAGAAATACATCAGGCTATGTTACAAGTTATTATCTGCCAGAAAAGTGAAGAAAGAATATAACCTAAATGCTCGAATTAGTGCACTTCCCAATTTCGAAGAAACTGCGAAATGATGGACCACTGATAAAAGAATAGAGAAATACGAAAATAAATGATCGCTCTCTTCCCTTCATGTTAGCGCCCGAATGTAGCGTTTACGAGAGGAGGGTAGAGCCATTCACATACCTCTAATTAAAAAAGGCAATATCACTAGGAAAATGTCGATAAAAAGGTGAAGCAGCATAACAAATACATAGCACCTCCCCTTCCACAGGTTAGCGGTCGAACGTAGCGCTCGCAAGAAGAGGGAGGAGCGCCGAAACGTAGCGCCGTTGGCAGCGCTGCGTATGTTCAGTGCCGTATCCGCTGCGGTGGGGAGAGGTTGTGCTAGCAACTTGTGCCATAATATCCCCTCTGTATGACCTCACTGTGACTTGTGATCTTTGTTTGTGTGTGGATAGGACATCTTGCGATGGAAAAAGGACGAATGTGAAGGGATATGAGGAGGGAAAAGATGGGAAGAAGAAGAGATAGAGATTGTTTACACAGGCTGGTTCTCTCCTGTCTCTCTCCCTCTCTCTTTACATGGTGAAAGAGGGAGTGAGAGAGAGAGCAAGAGTGGTGTGCTGTGTTCTCTTTCTCTCAGTTCGTGATATTATCTAGTGTCTTTCACGGATACATTTTATCACCACTTAGGACAAGAAAAATGTGTAGATGAAGAGGAAAGAAGTTAATTGTGTGTACTCCATATCTCATTTTCCTTCTTTCTCTCTCTCCCTTGCTTTCTCTTTCGCACATGGACATCGTGACTGAGAATAGAGGAAAAAAAGAAAAAGAGAGAAAAACACTATATGTGCTTGAATTATAGAGAAAGAAAGGAAAGGAAACAACAAATCTATTTTAAAATTCTCTGTCATCCATTTACGTGTACTGAATGGTATTGTCGTGAATATTCTGAAAAAATTACAATGATTTGAGTGTTAACATAAAAACAGTTTGATAACTTTCTGTAAGAATTCTCAGTAATTTGAAAATGGTGTGAGAGATTATTTTCTTGTTTGGGAAAATTTGTCTGTTTCTATATACAGTAATACCATTTCTTTATTTCTTTTGGCTAAAAAATAATACTTGTTTGAAATATTTGAAAAAAAATATATACCCATCTAAAATATTAGTTTTCAAACAGGATTGGTTGATTTCTATACGAGAATTATAGAATTATGATTATTTTAACCTTATTAAGCTTTTTGCTCTGCATAGAATTAGTATATATTTTATTACTGTTATAGTTATTATTATTATTGGATAGAATCAAGAAAGAAATGGAAGATTCTTACTTGCCTCACAAGAAGTTGGAACAAGATGCGCTATTTAGAAAGTAACAATAACGGTGAACTAATCAACCAAAAATAAGTTATATCCGAAGGTGTGCTCGAAGTCACCAGGTGATCTCAGAGTGTTAGATTAGGTTGATGGTGTTTATGTAAGATTGTACCCTGGGATCTCCTACTGACATTAATGGATACTCAACTCTGCCTAAAAAAAACATCGATGTTTACTTAATGTAAAGGTGTAAGTTCATTGGTGGAAGTTGCTGAGGAGTTAATTTCAAATGTTGGCTGCTGTGTTGGACTCTTTTTAAAGCTTTTGGGCACAGGTTTTGGGGGGACAAATTTAATACCCACTAACCACAGTTTTCAGCAGTAATGTAACCTGCCCAGTGGTTGTAAGGTGTTGGAGAGGTATTTTGGCAAGTCAAGAGTTAAGACATGTTTAGTTTATTTTTCTTTTCTTTTTCTTTTTTTAAGGCAATCACCTTTGCTCAAAGAATAAAATCCTGGTTATAAAAGTGACTAGTTTAAAAGGCTTGTTGTTTAAGTATGGACAGGTCAAAATTTATAGGCTAATGAATTAATTAATTTACTCTTCTCGAAATGCTATTTTCTTTTTTATGATTATTGGAAACCTAATTATCATTTGTTTGTAAGTTTATTTGTAACGCAGAAGGCCTCCCTTGTATTGTTTATGTGAAATGTTGAAGTATTGCCAAATCCAGTTTGCTTACTTGCTGTTTCCTAACCGGTGTCATTTGTACTTAGGGATGTTGTGATGTTTCATGTTTTTTTTTTGTTTTTTTTTAGCAGTAATTTCTGAAGCTTTTTATATATATATATATTTTTTTAAAGTAGTGAATGAAGCATTTTTTTTCTTATTCTGCATGTGTATATATTTACATATAGGAATGTGTGCCAACTTCATAGCTTTCGAGGAGTTATACAATGACATTTGATCTGTACAAGCAGGCTGAGATTTATGCAGATTAGGAGAGATTCTGTAAGCAGTGCTACCAGTCCTGTTACCTAACCTTGATTCTCTGATAACATTGATCCTCATAAAGCAGTGGTGCCAGCATTTACCTTTATAAGTTATTCTGTATTTGCAATTCATAATCTTAAACTGGTATTTTTTTTATTTTCAAGAGGTGCTGGCTGAGAGAAAAGACATGGAGTACAGATTTTTTTTTCTGTATAACTAAAACATGTTACGGGGTAATTAAAATACCAAACATATTTGACTGTCAACCCCATCATTCTTAGTGTGTCAATCTTCCCAGAATGTCTTTATTATTGTAACTCAAGGCTTCCTATTCTCTGAATGTTTACTGATGTTTGCTCTCTTTGTGTATTTTGATAAGCTGTTTTCAGTGAAAGATTGTTTTTAAAAACTATGAAGATACTTTTTTTCTATTCTATTGTTTTCAATGTAATAAATGAAAACTTAAGATCGAATGCAGTTAGAGCATTATGATTGAATATACAAGACGCATCTCAGCAAATATGAATTAGAACTCAATGGGGAACAAGGGAAAGGAGACTGATAAAACAAACAAACTTAAAAAAAATATATTGCTTGAAACTTCGGGACTGAGAAAGAGTTGTCTCCACCACATGTTCCAGAAGGGAGGGCAAAAGATCAAGCAAGAGCAATAGCTTAATTAATTGAAATTAGGCCAAAGGTTAGATAAAGGCAATGCAATCCTTTAATCAGGCATGGCGTGTGGTTTGATTGTCAGGCATTTTGCGGGTCCGTCATACAAACACATAGATATGTATACTAGTATCACTTTTATATATATGTTTACCTCACTTCATACTATTCTTTGTTTCTTGTTGCCGCTCGGAGGAAAACAGTTGGTGGAGGTCAAGTGTTGACGTGGAATCTTCGGTTTAGAAAGTGCAAAGTCACACCAGGCGAGAGTTGGGATCCTTGCGAATTATGTCATTAAAATGTAAACGAGGGATTGAAATCACCACTAAGCCTGGAGGGAAGATAACACGCAGTCACTGCTGAATTGACACATTAAGTAGACAGAACAGTGGAGGTAGTAGGCTTGGCAGTTTACAGTCACTGTCATGTTGACTAGTTTATTTAAACGGAGTGCACATCAAAGCAGGTGCACAATGTACCATGAGAGACAGCAGCGTCTTCCAAGACTGGCTAGCCCGGGCAGCAGGTGGCTTGGGAGGGCTTGGGCCGAGGGCAGAGGGCGGGAGATGGAGTTGGAGGGTGGCTATTGGGTACGTGGGGGGGGGGTTATGGGTAGTGGGAGGGCAGAGGGATGGAACTGGTTGGTTGGTAGTGGGTGGACCAGGGGGGAGGGAACTGGTTGGTGGGTAGTGAGTGGGCTCGGGTAGGATGGGGTGTTACTGGTGACCTCCGAATGGCCTTGCTGCAGGCTTAAAGGGCGAACACGAGAGACATTTGTTTGTAATAGTTCTGTCCCGGGTTGCGAGACGGGCCCGGGAGAAACTGGAGTGAGTCACCCAGGCGATGTCGAGGCCGCGTGTGTGGCGTGGCGTCGCGGCGTCTTGGCTTGGGAGGTGATTTTCCCCCTTGCAGATGCTAATGAATTAAGAGAAGGATTTACTGTAGCAGTGGATCTAAATATATTTTATTTACACGTGCAATATGCGGTGTGCGTCTATACTTTGAAACTTTCGTTGTGTTTTAATGTGCTTGTGTTTTATTCCTAGGTTAATCTCGAACCCCAAGAAAATAAAGTGATATAGTTATCGCACAAAAGTGTATGTGATACTCCGAGGCCGCTGGTGCTTCTAGGATTTGATACAGACGCACAACACGGGTGCTTCCATAAACACCACCACGCAGCAAGTGTGGGCTTGTGGGTGGTGTTAACACGACTCTCCACACCGAGGAATATTGAGTTCGAGTGCGTGTGGGTGCGAGCTAACGCAGCACTCGGAAAAAAAGGAGGGAAGGGTGTGAGGAACACGAAATCTTGTGATATTTTTTTGCGAGCGAGTGAAGTCCACACAAACCGCCATTCAAGATGATGGCGGACGGTCAGCTGATCGGTGACGGGTCGTGGGAGCTGCACGTCACCGTGACCGACTTGCAGGTGGAGCGGATCCTGAGGGTGAAGAGCGACCTCCACATCGGCGGAGTCATGCTCCGGCTCGTCGAGGAACTGGGTGAGTGTTTGTGTGTTGTTCCTTGGAGTCCGGATGCCTGGGTAGGAACGCATTGATGTATGCATAGGCCTACATAAACGGATATGAAATGGTTGTGTTTGTTTGTGTGTGTTTGTATAATTGAATGTTTGTATGTATATTTATGTGCATTTATGTATTATATATACATATATATATATATATATATATATATATATATATATATATTATATGTATATATATGTATGTATGTGTGTATATGAATGCATGTATGTATATGTGTGTGCATATAAAGAACTTTGACGGTAATAAAGTTTCCCCAGACCTACCTCTCCCGCCGCCCTCCCCGTCGACGGCGAGCGTGCACCGCGATGCACGAGGCGCCCCTCCCCTCCCGCCGGGGTCGCGGTGGACGTAGGCCTCGGAAGCGCAGGGGGCCCGGGCAGCGCGGGTAGGCGGCGTCCCGTTCCTTTTAGGGTCCTGCGGCATCCAGCGTACGGTCTCGTGTCGCCCACGCTGCCCAGGTGATCGCCGCGGACGCCTAAAAAAGGAGCAGGCGATGCTATTCTTGACCGCATTAGCACGTCGGGTGTGGAACGGCCGGAGGAGGCGACCTTGGGTGGGTGGGGTAGGGGTGGGGATTGACGATTCTTTCGGCGTGACAGGTTGACCCGCCGCGGGGATCGCCTTGCTCTCTTGAGGGTCACTTCCCTGCAAGGTCTATATAAGTACTTATATAGACCTTGACTTCCCTGCGGGGCTACCCAGACCCCCGGTTATCTGTCTGTCTATTTGTCTAAATCCTCCACTTTTCCTTTCATTATCGCTTTTTCGCCAGTCTGTCTATTTGTCTATGTATCTGTCTATCTGTTTATCAGACTGAATGGCAAAACACTCTACCGTGCTGATACTATGGTAGAAAAACCCGCAATGTATAAATTTTGTGTGTACATGGTGGGGCTTCGTATCATTTATCAACCTTTTTAAATATATCAGTATATGCATACTTACACACACACACACACACACACACACACACACCACACACACACACACACACACACACACACACACACACACACACACACACACACATCTATATGTGTGTGTGTGCATGCAAGTATGTATGACTTCTCACATGATTGATAAGCTATGAGAGACAGAGACATAGGATGGAGACAAGAGGGAGAGACAGACACAGACGTAGACCAACGAAGCTCGGCATCGACGGCCAATCCACCAGCGCAACCCATCATCTCCGTGGGCCTCCTCGCCTCCTCCCTTCCACTTGACGCTGCGCCGCCCATTGTGCTCTCGGGGCGTCGGGGTGTTTGTCCAGCGCGTTGGCATGGCGAGAGGAGAGAGCAAAGGTGACGCCAGTGTAGTCCGCGGGAGGGTCGTGATTTCGTTGGCCACGTCAGGCCTCGTCTAGACCGTTGCCGCTCATGGCTTTTTGCACCGCTGCTATTTCTATGGTTGGGGAAAGGAGGGGGAGGGGGTGCGGGCAGAGAAAGAGAGGGAGAGGGAGATACAGGGAGGCTGAAAGTTTTCTAATCTTATTTGTTACGCTTTTTTATGTATGTGAATGAAGAGAGAGAGAGAGAGAGAGAGAGAGAGAGAGAGAGAGAGAGAGAGAGAGAGAGAGAGAGAGAGAGAGAGAGAGAGAGAGAGAGAATCGCTTTACCAACATTGTTGAGAAGGGGTGGCACACATCCCGCAACGCTACCGGGTGCCATGACCCAAAGTCAGGCCACGGAGTCAACGTCTCTTTTCATCTCTCTCTCGCTCTCTTACTCACTCACTCACTCACTACTCACCTATTCTTCCTCGTTCTTTTCCCTCTTTCTCTTTCCTCCTCTTTATATATCCATCCCATTTCCCTGCTGACTGTCTTTCTCTCTTCCCTTTCTGTCTCTCTTCTTTCCCCCCCACTCATCTCCTCTCTTCTTTCCTTCTCCTGCTTCCATCCCTCCTTCCCTTCCCCACCTCCCACCCCCCCCACTCCCCACCTCCCCACCTCCCCATCTCCCTCTCGTCTCCCTTTTCCGCCCACGCGTCAGAAATGATCTGCATTCATTATTCAGTTATTCGAGAGAAAAGGCAAGCGAGGCCCGCCAGACCGCGCTTTACTTGGCGTTGGGGGGTTGGGCAAGGGGTATAGGGTTGGGAAGGGGTATGGGGTATGGGGGGGGGGTATGGGGGTTGCGGCTCTCCCTTTTTTATGTGACGAGCGTGGGTGATGGCGGTGAGATGGGTAGGCCTAAAGCCTTGGAAAGGATTGGAATGGTGCAAGGCGGCAAGTGGGATGTTTGGGTATTTGTTTATCTTTATGTATCTTTATCTGTGTATTGATGCAGTCAAGCACGTATGCCTGTACATGCAGGCGCGCGCGCTCACACACACGCACACTCACATTCACTAGCACATGTCAACACACACACATCTCTTCGATAGTAAAGATATATTTATCCCTCTGCATCTATTTATGTTTCATGTCATATCAGTTAGCCTTCTTATCCATCTACGTTTTTATCTCCGTCTATCTTTGCCTCGCTGCCTTTCAGTGCCAGGGAGTGCCATGGAGAGAGGGCAAGACATGCGCACTGCGGGCACTGTCACTCCCCGCCGGCGACGAGAGTGCCAGCGGGGAGCGGGCTTTTGACACTCCGGATGCGGCGTTGCTTTCATTTCTCGTCTTTTTAAACCATGCTCCTCTCGCTCTATTTTATTTTCCTTGATTCTTATATTTTTCCTCATCATTTTCATCGCTACTCTTGTCTTGTTCTCGTGTGGGTGTTTCGACTGCGATTATTATTGTTTTTGTTTGTTTGTTCACACGACGTCCTCCTTTTCTGTCGTGCGTTTCGCGTCCCCTCTCACGCCCCCTTCCAAGTAAGGCTGTGGCGAGCTGCAGGTGATCGTTCTGGCCGCTTGGGTGCACAGGGTAATTGCAGGGAGCCTTTTTTCTGCGCGGGGAATAATATTGCGAAATTGCCTTTTCCTCTGATAACCATGTGTGGTTCCTTCGTCGCGATTTTCTCTTTCGTGCGGATTCTTTCGTTCTCTACTTTACTCTCTTTCTCTCTCTCTCTCTCTCTCTCTCTCTACTCTACTCTACTCTACTCTACCTACTCTCTCTCTCTCTCTCTCTCTTCTCTCTCTCTCTCTCTCTTCTCTCTCTCTCTCTCTCTCTCTCTCTCTCTCTCTCTCTCTCTCTCTCTCTCTCTCTCTCTTTCTCGCTTTTTCCAGCTTTGTTCTGTTTCTTTATCGCCCTTCTCTGGCAGACCCCCCCTCTCACTCTCTCCTCTCTCTCTCTCTTCTCTCTCTCTCTCTCTCTCTCTCTCTCTCTCTCTCTCTCTCTCTCTCTCTCTCTCTCTCCTCTCTCTCTCTCTCTCTCTCTTCTCTCTCTCTCCTACCTACCTACCTACCTACCACCTAATTTCTCTCAATTTCCTCCCTCCGCTACACTACCTGCCTCATTAACACCATCACCGTCACATCTGTCTGCCCGCGTTCCGTTCCGTATCTTATCTCTCTCTCCCCCTCCCCTCCTCCTCCTCCGTCTGTTGCTCACCCCCTTTTCCGGTCCCCCATCCCCCTCCCCCCCTCTTTTTATCACCTCCCCCCATCTAGCTCTGACACTCCAGAAACAAACACCTCCCGGTTTTGGCTGGTTGTGTGTCTCCATTTCACCCCCTCCCCTCTCTCCATCCCTCCTCTCTCCGCCCCCCCTCCTCCTCCTCCTTCTTCTTCCTCTCCCCCCCCCCCAACGCCATCTGTCATCTGTCATCTATCGCCCCCGTTAATTAACGCAAGCAAAAGTGTCAGTCTCTCTCTCTCCAGTCAGCCAGTCAGTCAATTAGAGTGTGCGTGAGTGAGTGAAATAGTGGGGCTGAGGGGGGGATGGCGGGAGGGGGTGAAAGGAGATGGCGAGGGAAGGTGAAAGGGGGAGGGGGAGGGGGAAGGGGGAGGAAGTAGAGAGATTAGAAACCTGGTTTTTGTGTTGTTCTTTTGCCTATCGTTTTCTTTTTTATTGTTTCTCTTTGGTTTACATATGTCAGAGAGAGAGAGAGAGAGAGAGAGAGAGAGAGAGAGAGAGAGAGGAGAGAGAGAGAGAGAGAGAGAGAGAGAGAGAGAGAGAAGAGAAATAAACACGGAAAAAACGGAGAGAAAGGGAAAAAAGAGAGAACAAAATTAAAAAAAGACCAATACAGAGAGCCAAAAAAAGCAAAAAAATAATGAAAAAGCAAAAAAAAATCCAGGAAGCCGAGGAGCGAAATCGAACCTCGCATTAACGTCCCAGAAGAAGAGGGATGGGCCTATTTATAGAGATGTACAAGGGACACCCAGAGCGAGAGGGAAGTCGGGTGATGTTTATTGGCCAAATACTTGGTAGTGCGTCTGCGTGCCTGCCGTTGAATGGAGCGAAGAGCTGCATAGCAAGGGAGAGGTGGTGTGTGTGGGGTGGGGGGGGATAGTGTGTGGGAGGGGGGTGTATGTGTGTGTGCGAGGGTGTATGTGTGTGGGGGGGATATGTGTGTGTTGTGTGTTATTGTTTATGTTTTTGTTTGTGGGAGAGAGAGAGAGGGAGAGAAGAGAAAAGAAAACGAGAGAACGCAGGGACAATACAAAATAAAAGACGAGGAAACGGGATCCGAAAACACCAAGAACAACATCTAGAAGAGAAAAGAAAGGCAGACTATCAGGCAAGCAAACAAAAGAAAAAAAAAAGAAATAATAAAAAAAAACGCGATACCTGCCAAGAATCTCTTACGTAACGTAGTTTGGATGCGCGAGGGGAGGAAGGGGGAGGGGGGAGGTGGGGGGAAGGGAGGGTAGAGCACAAGGGGCACTTGAGGCTTAACTTTTGGTGAACAGACAACAAGACAGGTCTGACATGCCCCTCTCTCTCTCTTTCCATTTCTCTCTTTTCTCTACTCTTTCTTTCTTCTTTCTTCTCTTTCTATCTCTTCTCTCCTCTTTCTCTCTCTCTTCTCTCTCTTTCTCTTTCTCTTTCTCTT